TATGTTATAAGGATTTTTCAATTAAATAGAGTAACGTCGAGTATCGCAGCAATAATCTCTGACATCAGTAGAAAGTGTTTAATTTGTGGAAAAAAAAACAACAAACAAAAACTCTTTACCGTTATCAGTTACAACTCTGGCATGAATAAAGAATTTTTCGTACGGATATGAAAAATTGTATTCTTATATGAAGTTTCATGTTTTTGAAATTTATGAATTTAATTTTAAAAAAAATCAGTTTATCAATAAATAAAACTCATTAAATAATAATAGAGGGTGTTTTTCTGCTATTTTAGGATGTATAATATAGTATGTGTATATATATATATAACATTTGAAAAGGGATACTATTCGGAGTAATGATTAATATAGGTTTTTTATTTATAAAAAAAATATTTTTTTCGTTTCTTTCCTTGTTGTATAATGTACATGACTGCGTTACATTTATCGTTTTCTTTTGATGTTTCCGCTTGAATTATTTTCTCCCTAGAAAGTACTTTTTAAAAAAAAGGTTTACATCGCCACATTCTCTTCATGCGTGATTGGCAAGAAGTAAAGCAAAATATTTGTTTACTTCTTAATAGTCATTGCCTATTGTTTCACATATAAAGCTAAACAATATTTTCTTTTTTTGTTTTTATCTAGAAACTTGAAATCTATTTTTTATCGATGAGTATAGTAAATTATGATGAAATTGGTGTTCCAAAAAAGTCTACACAATGGTATTATTTTATGGTAATATTTTCACAAATCGTCGGCATCATAGCACTTATTATAATTGGTGTTCTTTTTGGACAATATCGTGGTGGATTTGGATGGGGAGTAAGTTAGTTTTTTACTTCTTTCTCAAAGCGAAATATTCGAAGTTTGCTATATGACATACAAGAATAACAAACAAACAAACAAAAAATATATGTGTGTATTGTTTTTTTTTAGTCGGATCTTACAAAAGTATTTAATAATCATCCATTACTTATGACACTTGGTATGGTATTTTTCTATGGTGATGGTAAGTTAATTTAATTAAAATATCTTTCCGAATGAATGTTTTTTGTATATTTAAAAGCTATATTAGTTTATCGCGTATTTCCTAATACAAAAAAACTTTTTGTTAAAATTCTTCATGGAACTTTATTAGCACTTTCACTTATTTTATCATCAATTGGTCTTAAAGGTGTTTTCGATAGTCATAATCGAGCTGTTTCACCACTAGGTAATCTAGAGACACTTCATTCATGGATTGGTATTATAACTGTAACTTTATTTGGTTTACAATGGATATGTGGTTTTATAACTTATCTTTTTCCAAAATTAAGCGAAAGTATTCGTCAAGCATATATGCCAACGTAAAAATGAAAATTATATTTTTTCTTTTAATTGAAATACTTTTTGTTTAGTCATAAATTTTGGGGTAAAACAATATTTATTTTTGCACTTGTTTCTTTTATGACGGGTATTGTAGAATATTGTGTATTGTAAGTAATGTAATTTGTTGCTTTTTTATTATTTGTTTTGTATTTTAGTGAGAAACTGTATGATGATAGTACATTAAAATCTCAACGAAATATGTTCAGTATAGCTGGCATTCTGTTTTTGATTTTTGCTGTTATTATTATTTATCTCGTTGGTGAAAATGATTTCCAACGACCTCCAGACAATGATGATGAACATAGACCTTTAACTGAGTGATCAATATGATGCACATTAGTATTACGACATTAATTTTTTACGCTGTTCTACAAATTACGTTTGATTTTATCTTATGTCAATATTCTTGTTTTTCGTTATAATTGCGAAAATTATATTTCATTAAAAAAAACTCGTACAGAAGCTATTATAACATGTTTTGTTGTAAGATTTAAAGTTTTTTTTTTTTCTATCTATTCGAATTAAAGACAATAAATGATGTTTGTTTATGTGCATATACTACGTGTCCTAGAAATCATTTATCAAAAACAAAATCATATATATCTTCAATGTATTTTAATCAAATGCTCTTATGTATTCTCCTGATAGTAGAGTAGAATTTCAAGTTTTTTTTTTTATGACTAAAATATTTAATAATATCACTTGAAATTATTATTACCTATTTAAATGACAAAATTTTACATGTTATATCAAAGTAAGTGATAGAGTTTGAGTTTCTATAATATGATTTAAACTTCTTAATTTTTAAATACTTTATGTTTGCAAACTTGGCATTTGTTTTTTACTAGTCTATCTGACTTTATAGAATCTTCTGGGATATTCTTGTACAAAAGAATTCCTAAAAAACATTATCAGCTTCGGTTAAATTTTAGTACGGTATTTCCGTGGATAGTTGCCGAAAAAAAAACAAAGATATCTGAAAACTTATTAACATATTCCATTTTGTTACAGTTTCTGAGCCCTTATTTCACCAAATAGTAACACAAACCATCTATTCATAATACCCTCCACAGGATTCCTTCTTTTGTGCAGTTTTGGCCGAGATATTGAATTTTTCGTGAAGTTTCCCGTCTAGGACCTCGATTTTTCAATAAAATCTTAATTTCAAACTTTTGGCATGAAACCTTACTGCAATCAAAGTCTCACCGAAACTAATTTTTGCACAAAATTCTAGAACTTTCGCTTATAGCATCTCCGGAATACCAGTTTTTTCAAAATCTAGGTACTTCTCCATTGATATTAAGTAAAGCATAGAGGTTTTGAAGAATTGTAAGGGAAAAAGTGCAACTTTGGAACTTCCAACACATTGTGGAATTGAATGTACTAGGGTACCGAGCTATGAGTGAGAATCATACTATTTTAATGCAATTGTTTCAATCAAGACAAACTTATTTTTCGAAAATAATGATTTGTTATAAACTTGATTAAAATTTTCTAGAGTTGATGAATCCAAATCTATAATCAGTTTTTCGAAATTCTTGAGTTGAATTTTTTTTTTGGGTCAATGGAAACTTATTTTCTGCAGTTTACTCACGTTTTCATAATATGCAATTATTTATTTGAAATAGCCTTCCACTTACCAGAAAAAAACCGATTAAAGATTCAAATTCGTTAACTTCAAAAATCTTTAGTTAAGTTTTATAAAAAGTCGTTATTTTTGAAAAATTGAATTGAAGTAGTACGATTCGCATTCATAGCTATCACCTTAATTTCCAGTCCAGCTTCAAATATGTATCAGTAACACAATGCCTGGTAGTAAAATTTGGTGCTCAGGTACTGCACTTATCTTCTAGAAAAATTGACATCTCGGAGATAGTGCCTGCAAAAATTCTGAAATTTTTTGGAAAAGTTAGTCTCGTTGACACTTTAATTACGGCAAAGTGCTATACGAAAAATTTTAAATTAAGGTTTCATTGAAAAATATGGCTTCTGGAGGAGGAAATTCAACATCTCGGTCAAAGCTCCACAAAAAAGGGAATCCGTCGGCAGTTATGAACAAATGGTCCATTACGATGTAGTACAATAACGGATCAGAAGCTATAAATCAACTGGAGAGATCCTCCGTCGAATGTAATCGGGAAAGGCTCTTTTCAATATTCTCCTTGAGGATATGAACCATGAACACTTCTTTATCATCGATAAAAAAATCAACCAATTCGGTCAAATTCAATTTTTTCTTCGGTTAACTGACATTCGGATGGTCCTGTATTATATCTTTTGAAAAGATGCATATTTTCAATTTGAAGATATTGAATTCTTTTTCTTTTTTATTCTTCATCAAATGTTCTCTCTCTAGAGAGAGAGATATTAAATACCATTTGTCGGTATTCTTCTCGTCTTTCTCTTTACACACTGATCGATTGATTAGCAGAACTAATGAGCTTGTCGATTACATTTTTCAGAACAAAAAAAGAATAAAAAGTATCGTTAAACTTTCAGTTTGTATTATTATAATATGCGTATTTAGTTACTAAGTTCTATGTCATATCGTGTAATTTTCTATTGACAACTGATGTTTTTTTTGTAATCTAACAAATCCCAATTCTCATAGGCGATTTTCTTTCTAACAAGGACATATTTCTATATTCGTGTTTATTTAACATTTTAGAATAAGATTTTTTTTTTTACTACCACCTACAGTTATAGCGACCAAAGTTATAGGCTAATTTGCTTTGTTCTTTTTTTACCCATCAGTATTGATCGTATTTATATATAGATGCGTATCATTCTCAGTGGAATTTATCTTCAACATATCAATTAACAAAATCTAACATCGTTGATATATATGTATCCCATCATGGAAGTTACATTAATTACTATTGGTTATTTTCTTCTAGAAAATTTTTATATTCGAAAGAATGGCTATATTATTGATATGAAAATAATTGTTTTTTGTTAAAATGATTATCATTCAGTTAGATTAGAATATTTAATAATATAATCATTTTACAGACACTAATAATCAATAGTAATTTTGTCAATAAATTTACACCTGTTCTTTTTTGTCGATATCTGATATTATGACTGATCAGTTTTTCTTTTTGTTCTTCTATGCGTGATATTTAAACATGTCAGGTCACATATTTGAAATATTTTAATTGTAAATATAACAAAAAAAAAACAAAAGAAAACCGCAATTATGTTTTTTTTTTGTAAAATTTTTATCAAGTTTTGTTTGCAAAGAAAATGAGAAGATACCGTTACACATTTTGTCTTGATGACTTGTTCTCAATCTAAATATTTTATCATCTATACTCGTTTTTCTCTCTCTCTCTCTCTCTCTCTCTTTTCTGTTATCAGTCTAGTTGTACATCATCAGTAATATAGAAATAGAGAAAAGAAGAAGAAAAACGATTGTTAATTGCTATTCGATCCTCTCATAAAATACAACTTCAATCAACCAACCAGATAAAAGAAAACGATGGTAAGAAGAAGGGAAAAAAGAAGTAGAAGCAAATGCATCGTATCATTATGAAATCCAGTAATAGTTTTTTATTTTGTATATAATACATATTAATTACCATTCTCTTCAATCTTTCAAAAAAAAAAAAAAAAAAAAAAACGAAATCACAATGATGACAGACTTTCGAAGTTGTCAACAACAATATACTGATAATACATTGATACCACCATCAACATCGAGTTCTATTCCATCTTATGGTACTTATTTTCATCCCAATATTGGTTATAATACAACAAATGAATTAGATGGACAATATCCTCAATTTACATCTTCATATACATCACCATTTTATCATCATCATCATCATCAACAACAACAACAACAGCAACAACAATCATATGATTTTGATTCATCTTCTTCTGCTTCATTTATACCACATTATTCAACACTTCAACCAGTTAATTCATCTTATACATCTTTTTCACCAACATCTGAACATAGTCCTGATAAATCTCTTAATTATTTTTATTCATCAATACCATTACAACAAACAACACTTTCATCAAGTTCAACAACTGAATCACGTTCACCATCGATTCATTCATGTGATGATGAATCAAATATAACTATAACACCAAATAAAAATGATATTCATACAGAATCACCTAATAATAATAATGGTTCATGTGATGGTACACGTCGTTGTTTATTATGGGCATGTAAAGCATGTAAACGTAAAACAGTAACTGTTGATCGACGAAAAGCAGCAACAATGCGTGAACGTCGACGTCTAAGAAAAGTCAATGAAGCATTTGAAACATTAAAACGACGTACATGTCCTAATCCAAGTCAACGTTTACCTAAAGTTGAAATTTTACGTAATGCTATTGAATATATTGAAAATTTAGAAGATTTACTTCGTTCATCTGGAATTAGTTCAAGATCATTAAGACATGATTTAGATAATCAAAAATCAAATATTAATGAAGTAAAGTTTCTTTTTTCTTTTTTCTTTTTTGTTTATTATATGTTTATATATGTATATATATATATATATATAGTTGTTAAAACCAAAATCTTCAATGATAAATTACAGTGAAAAATATGATAATGTAACTACAGATTATAATAGTAATTCAGCAACACCATCTGTCTATGAAACAATTGATAGTAAGTCAATATACGAATTTAAATTTTTAAAAAAGAAAAAAGAAGATTTTTTTCTCGCTTAATCAAATGTGCTAAATAGCATGTTAATAATGCAAATGTCTTTATTTTTGATGTCTTAACAGCACATGATATATATGTGTATATATATATATATACATATATGTTTCTCATCGAATTAAGGCAGAGATACTGTCATTATCATTAGATTCTATAAATGATTATTGTTATTATTATTGTCAATCTAGTCAAAATCATATATATACTATAAATCTATTTTTAGATTATACTGAAGTGGTATTAGCACATCATACAAGATCATCAACAATATCAAGTCTTGATTGTTTATCAATGATTGTTGAAAGTATTGATCCAAATAAAATTGTTAATTCATCGAATGGAATATCGAACAGTACTATTTTAAATCAATGTTGTTAAAGAAAGAAAAAAAAAATTCTTCTTGTTTTTTTTTTGCTCATATTTATGTACAATTTTGTCTTGTTCTTTTAGTAATAATCGAAATTGAATGAATAACAATGAACATTTTTTTCAGTGCAGTTTTTTTTTATTCTGAGCTTATAGGTGTTCATTCTTTTCATATTTGTTTAAAAAAGAAAATGTTTCGATTATATTAAATGATTGTCTAGTAATGTACTGAATGATGTAATATTGAATAGAAGATCGAAATCATTGATATATATATATATATATCATTAGTTAATATTGATGAGACTTCTGTTATGACCAGTCAACAATACGCTTATCGATCAAGGTTGTTTATGTTTAGCTATTTCATTAGTTTTGATTATTTCATAGCTTATTTTCTGAAGATGGTCTGTAGAAATATACCAACGACATTTCGAGCAGAAAATCTTTTTTTTTTTTGAAAACTAGTTGCAGATTGAAGTGTCGAAAAAAAATGATGAATGATGATATTTGTTTGACTCTATCTGTAGCTATTAAACGGTTGATTGAAAATATTTCTATGGATATATACAATTAAAGTGTATTGTTTCAAATAGTATAACAGTGGATTCTCTAGAAAAGAAAATAGCTGAAAAATTAGAGTCTACAATGATTATCCCACTATATTATTCCTACAGATCATTAATTGACTTATCATCATTATTACAAAAATTGTTTCTAATCACGATACTAATCAAATGTTTATCGTAGATTCATAATTTCTCGGTTATCTTTTTTTTTTGTTAGAGAGAATCCACTATTGTAATTTTTAAAGCATTATAATACAAGGATATTCCTATATTCATTGAAATATTTTCACTCAAGTGTCAAATGACCATGTAATTAATTTTGTGAAAATAGAAGATCAGTTCGTTTTCTTCATTATTATTAAGAATACGTACTGTACGTTCACATTCAATTTCAACTTTGTACTCTATTCATCCTATAGTTATAATGTTGTATCATAAATTATGTCTTTTCAACATATAACATGATATACTAATTAGATAAAAATCTCAGCTATCTCCTTTTCAAAAAGTTCATCAAAAGAATTAAATCAATTCCTTATAGAATATTTCGTATTGTACAGAGGGATACACACAATGCAGAGATGGAATCGGTATGAATTTTTGACGACTGGTACCGACTTCATCTTTGAACAGTGTCAACAAAATTTCATTACACATCCTCTATGAAATACTATTACTAAGACTAATAGAAGTGTGGAATAAATTTATATTACAAATGCTGGAAAGTAAATAAGATGCATCAGCCAGTTTGTCGATAATCAACATTGATTTCATCTCTGATACAATAAGTAAACCTATATAGTGAGTGAATCTTTTACAAATGTATGTGTGCAGTGAACACACAAGTGTATATTACTGCAAGAAAAGAGAAGGTTAATAACTTCCACTACACATCCTATATAGTGAATAATTTTTACATATGATTGATTCTTTTTTTTTATTCAGTTCCCATGTAAGAAAATTATCGATTTAAAACTCAATAATCATATATGCTTGAGTGTCATATCTTTTTCTCATTATTTGTTGTATTATACGCAAGTGAATGAATTGGTTTGTTAAGAGAAAAAAAAAGAAGCTAACCTTTAGTTAATAGTAATATTCTTTATAATTCTCTGCTAAACTATGTGGAAATTAATTTCTATTTTAATTCTATTTTCTATGATCTCTATAGTAAGAACTATATCTGATTCATCGAAATTTAATCGAACATATATGTAAATATGATTTAAATTTTATATTATAATTTTCTAATTCGATTATTTTAGGATATTCGTTTCTAAAGATGTACCAATAGGTCATACACAAATAATTGATACATATGATTTATCATTTTGTTTAATTTTTTCAATGAATACAACTTTTTCTCTTTATAATAATTTACCATTTGAAATTTTATTAATACAAAATAAAAATTGTACATTATATTTACATGTTATTGATTTATTATATCATAAACATATATCAATATATACAATTCAACAAGAATTAATTTATGAAAATATTTCAATTATTATTCATTTATCAATTAATATTATTGATATTAATAATAACATATTAGAATTTGAAAATAAACATTATCATTTTATTGTACAAGAAAATATTCTACCAGGAACATTTATTGGACGTGTACAAGTTTATAATACACAAATTTTCTTTAATACTAATATTTTCTATATATTATTTGGTAATGATCTTATACAATTAGATAATCAAATAATGTTTCGTATTGATAAAGATACAGGAGATATATTTCTATTTGATTATAAACTTAATTATGAAATAAAACAAGAATATAAAATTAAGGTTGAAGCAAAAGGTTATTATAAAGATATTGAAACTGCTAGATGGATATCTGTATCATCATTTGCAGATATTATTATTACTGTTGAAGATATAAATAATGAAAAACCACAAATTATTGTTACTATGCCAGATGAAAATAATATGAAAATTATGAGTATATCAGAACCACAATTAAATGAAGGTTTGTGAAATAAATAATTATTATCTTTCATTATTTAATTTTAATCCAATAGCTTTCAGAATTGTATAGAAAGAAGAGTTGTGTTGTGTATCGAATATGACAAGACTTAAGAAGTGTGGATTCCAATTATAATTCTTTATAGTATTTAGATTTCGATTCTGATCTATGAATCAAACGATTGAGTTTATCTTCGTTCGTAATGACCAAAAAAGACTTCAGTCATTCATACTAAGTATTTATTGTTATTGTTAGTTTTGATTCTATATGATAGATAAGGATATGCAGTACGATTCCATTAGCATAGGACGAGTTATTGAAAAAACGTATCGATAATGCAAAAGTTTTGCAGCATTATTTTCTTGACGAATATTCGAGCAGAGAAATAATATATGATTTTGACTTTTCTACGAACTCCAATTAATTTTAATATAAAAGCGACGAAATAAAAGAAAATTTATAAGTTGCATCGTGTAGCTCTGTGAATGGAATCTACTTCCTAAAGAAATTTTATCCATACTTTCAAGTTTGAAGGAAGCATCTGAAAGACTTGGAACTTGTCATTGAACTCTATATCAAATAGACTTTTAGGTCTATCTATAAGTATTTGATAACAATCTATATTTGCTTAACAAAAATCGTCTGTGTGAGTGTCAATAACAAAACAGTCATTTTTTGATAGTATTTGAACGTTTTTTAATTATTTGGACCTGAAATAAAGAGACTAATCAATTCTATACAGAATTTCTCAAAAATGAACATTATCTAGTCATAGATACTAGTTTTAGAATACTTATTTTGAACGCGAATAACCGAGTCCACCATAAAATAGGGTTCGTGCTTAAGATACATTTCTACGGAGATCGAACGTTTTTTAGTAAATTTTCGTTTTAGGACTCCACGTTCATAACAAGACGATTTTTTTGAATTTCGACTCGACACTTTACCAACATGTAGACCACAATTAGACTAGTTTGCATACAAAAAAAAATGCAGAACTTTTGGAATAAGTCTCAACGAGATATAGAACTTAGACAGTACATGCAGGTTGTATTTTTTTGAAAGATTCATGTATCGGAAAGACATAGATCGAGAATTCTGCAAAATAATTCGCTTAAAATCATATAATATTTAACTATAATCTTTAGTTCCGATTGGGACAACTTTTTTCTCGTAGTCACGGTCTTCTTTCTGAGACTAAAATTGATTTCGCATATCGCTAGCTCTGGCTAAAAAAGCGAAAACCAATGCCTTGGAATATTCTCTCGTGAGAAAATGAACTTCGTATTTATTCTGTATGTATGAACATATGAATAAAATTCTCAAGGCTACATCCTTAAAGCTAAATACCTTAAAAGAATGAAAAAATCTTCATGGTAGACTGTTATGAGTTTCAAAAATTAATATATTCAAGTCTTATCATCACTCAACTACAGACTAACTTTGAGTAAAATGTTACTAATTTGTTTTGGAAATTATTCTTATCTATGTTTTTTTGTTGTGATATGCAACTGCTCGTTCAGTTTGTCTTTTTTTTTTGATAATGTCTGAGAGAATAAAACGAAGTCTTTTGTTTTTCAGAACAAAATCGTTTCATAAATTCATTTCGTTCAAGTATAAATCTTATTGAAAACGATGCTGAAATAATTTCTTTAACTAAAGAAGAATCTTTACCAGTGAATACCCTTCTTGCATTACTTCATTTATATGATAAAGATCAAATATCAAATGAAAGTTTATCACTTAATTTACAAACATATATTCAATGTTCACGAGAAGAAATTTTCATAAGTAAAATATAAAAACCTATGTTTTTCTTTTTTTTAGAATAATCATTTCCATTTTTAATTTAAGATAATAGAACATTTTGTCATATATCAAATTTTTTTCATTTAACTATTGTTCGTCCTAATGTCTACGGTTTATTTAATTCTCAAATATTAGATCGTGAACAATATGAAAATTATATAATACATTTAATGGTCAACAATGATAATCAATCAATAGAAATGAATACAATATCAAATTCATTTCAATCAGAATTATTTATTTATTTAATACTTCTTGATGTAAATGATAATGTTCCTATATTTAATCAAACTTATTTTTATATACAAATCAATGAAAATCTACCGAGAAAATCAATTATAACTCGTTTACATGCATATGATATTGATAAAGGTAGAAATGGAACTGTTCATTATGAACTTATTGTTAAAAAACAACAATTTTTTTCAATTGATAAATATTCAGGAATTTTACGTACTAAACGTAAACTTGATAGAGAACAATGTGAATGGTATCATATTGGTATACGTGCATATGATCTTGGTTATCCAATACAAAAATATTCATCTATAGTTATAGTTGATGTACAAATTAATAATATCAATGATCATGTTCCATATTTTACACATGATATCTATCATTTCAATATAGAAGAAAATACACCGATAGGAAAAATAGTTGGAAGATTGACTATTGAAGATAAAGATGAAGAAGAACCAATTGAACAAATGATTAATTTATCATCTATTGATGATGGAAATACTATAAAATTTAATTCAAGTAGATCAAATAGAATACCACGGTAAGAATCAGTGCGAGTATGGGTATGAACATAGATGTTGATGTACGCGTGCGTTAGACGCTATCAGGTTGGTTTCGAACCTGATCAGGTTCGAGTTTGAAATTTTTCTGTTAACCGAATTCAAGTCCGAAAATTTTCGATCCAACAGGCTCTAGTCTGCATGACTGTGTACTACTTCTCTTCATCCAGTAATCATACTTCAGATTGTAGGTTACTTTTTCATGCATACTATGTGATGAACGCTAAATAAAAAAATACCTTCAAACAATGGTACAACAAATTTTCCTCTTGAGAAACAAAAAAAACTTTGTTCGATTTATTTGCCATCTGTTTCACACATTCATATTCAGATTATAATAAACAAAATCAAACTGAATAAAGACTTGAAAAAAACAATCGTATTTTTTTGTTTTTACAGTATAAACTATGTCTTCTCAGCACTATTATAGTATTTGACACAGGTTAAAGTATAAAAAGCTGTTGGAGTAATCTCAGCAGGAGTAAAATTTGAAACATTATGGACCTGCTGTCATTGTAAGAAAAGGAAAATCCATCAGCATATGTTTCGATTCATGAATCACCACCTACTGTTAATACTTGCCGATGAAAAAAAAAAAATATTAACCATAATACATTTTAATCAGTATGAAACAAAGGCAAAGAGCATCTATCTTAAAGTCAGTTGTGCTTCAAACTAATGATGCCTTAGACTAGTATTGTGGGTATGTTCGTCATGATTTCTACGAGAAGAATGGTCATATTATAAGATATCTGTCACAATGTATCATGTAGAAGAGAGGCGTTACTTCAATGTCTCTTATGCATCTAACCTGGAGGAAGCCGAGTATATAGTCAAATGACGAAACCTTTTTTTATCTTGAGCTCTAATTTTCTCAGTAGTATGAAATGCAATCAAGTTCAATATTCATTATTTCAATGAAAATGAAAAACGAAGCAGTACATATATGTAGAGTCATTACTATTTGCCTATTGTGCTGTGGACCCCCAGTAATGATATTTACATCAACACACAATGTACCTTTTATATGATATTTGAATCCTTTTAAAAGAATCTTTATTTTTTCAAAAAATATAGGACGATACCGAAGATAGATATAGAATACACTTTAATCATATGTAATTTATCATGCTAAATGTCATACATTGTACATTTGAAATGTCAGTAGTATCTGCTATTTGCTAAGCTGCAATTCGATTGTGTTCAATCATTGAGGTTCTAAAATTTATAATAATGGAGTATTGCACATTAGAAACTGTTATAAATATTAGATAAAGCGTACAGCCTTTCAGGAAAAGAAATTTTACTGATGAATGATGCTGGAACTTCTAATTTTCTCTCAGTGTATATTGAGTGATCTAAAACTTATTGCTAGATCTTTGCACATATGTTTAATATAACAAAATCTATGATTAGCAACTACATCAGGGTTGAATTCAGCCTATTCTGGAAAGTTTTGTGATCAGACAAACAAGGTTATAAACTCAATAATAGCTCTCAAAACAATGCTAATATCACAAGTTATTCGTAGGAGAATTATTTTGTGACATGAAGATATATGAAGGATTATATTCGAAAATCAATGAATGACAATCATCTTACTGATTTGATATTTCTAATGAGAAAACATGCGTTTGAAGTAAATATTGAACAAATACTATATCTAAGATTCTTCACAGTAATTACAAGAATAGTAAAATCATTTTACTTTATGATTTACAGTTTATTTTCTCTTCTAATAATGACCATACTAAATAATATTTCATATTGTCGAATAATCAACCTCGCTATAAAATATTTAAATCTATTATAATAGTATACATATGAAAAGTGAATTCAAATCAATTATGTATTATTTCTAATATAGGAAAGTTATCCTTTCATTTTTAGTATTCAAGAAAAATAAGTATTGCTACGAGAGTATCCCAAGGTAAGTAAGATCGTAGTAGATAAACAAAGTTTTCTTTCACTAAAACTAAAGTTTGGTTATCTTTTCGTCACTCACAAGGGAAAAAAACTAATTTCTATTACTGGAAATTCGTTTTTTTTACCTGCTTACTACAAATCAATAGTAATTATTGGAAATGCTTAGAAATGAAGGAAAATCAACAGAGAGTATTAGGAATCAAGAGCATTTACTAGGATTATGGGAAAATATAGAAAATCAATAAAAATCATTAGAAATTATGGATTTACTTTTAATCATATTATTGGAGATTTTCTGTGTATTTACAATGGTTTCCGATAATTCTTAACCACTTCCAGTCATTATTCGTATCTGTAATGCGTTATAATAATTAATAACATAGAAATCAGTTTGTTCTTCCTTTGATGATTCACTTTTATAAAATCATCAAACTTTCTCGTACTTCATAAATGCAGATAAAACTTTCGAAGTATTTCACAAAAGATAAGAGATTTGTATATTTCGTCTTTACCTTCTAATTATAGGAACATTCTTCAATATTTTTGTCAATAAAGCTAATCATCTTGACAGTAATTGTTTCTTTTAATAATATTTTTTAGAAGATAAAGGTCAATATCAGTCAAAAAATAGAAATTGTTGTGACAGTTATGCTTTTGCAATTACTATTTTTAGATTCTCTTAATTTAACATTTAAGAAAAGAATCAACTAGTCACTTCATATTCCTATCAAAGTCTAAATAGACATTTCCGTTTACTTTCTTGAGAGGATGGAACAAGACAAGATACATTTTCATCTTCTACGTGTCATAAAACATTTCTACTTTAGAAGGAAATCCTGTTACGTTTATTTTAAATAAAAAAAAAAATTTCGAAATTTTTTTGAACATCTTACATGTGATATTTTTCTTCAACTCGGAAGCGATTTTTTTCATTTGTGAGTTTTTGAAATTTCTCGAAATTATTATTTAGAATTTTGAAATTTTATTATTTTATTTTTTTTTTTTTGTAGAACTAATTATTCAATGATTGATTTTCTATTTCTTGATTCATATCGAAATAAATCTTTATCTGGTTTATTTTCTATTGATTCTCAAGGTTATATTCATACATTAGTTATATTTGATCGTGAATATCAATCAAATTATACTTTTTATATATTTATATATGATAGAATATTAAAATCTTATACATTTCCAACATATATAATTATTCATATACTTGATGAAAATGATCATATACCATATGAACCATTTCTTTCAAATTCAACAATTTTATCAATTGAACAAATAAATAATGATGAAACAATTCTATATAAATTTCAACCTATTGATCTTGATAATGGACTTAATGGATTTGTTTCAATTGAATGTCTTAATTGTTTATCAATATATTATTTTTATATTATAAATTCATCAACATTAATAACACGACGTTATATAAAAATACCCGATGGAATATATATATTAAATATTATGTTGCATGATCATGGTTTAATTATATCACATAAACAATTTTATACATTAACAATTAATTTAACACATTCTTTAAATTTTAAACAAAAAGAAAATTTATTTTCGAAAAAATTTTTCTATAAATATTTTTTATTAGAATTTTCTTGGTATTATTTTATTTTATTTCTTATTATTTGGTTTATACTTATTCTTATGGCTTTATGGAAATGTTATCATTATGATCGAATATCAATTAATAAACAAATTTATCAACATAAAATAATTATAAAAATACAAAATATTCTAAATTCTATCTATCAAATAATATCCAATAATCGAAATGTAAGAAACGGAAATGATTTTTTTTCTTCTCTCCTTGATAAATAATGAAATAACAAACATGAAATCATTCGTGCTTTAATCGATTTGTTCACTTTTACATGTATGAATTTATAGTGTGTATGAACACTTTGAAAGCAAGAAAATTAATAATAATGATTTATATGTAAGCACAAAAAAGAAGAAAAAAAAAAAGAAGAAGAAGAAAAGAAGCGAACTTTCATCAACAGCTTGTCTTTCTTTTTTTTCTTCTTCGGCAAAAACTATAGTTGATGTTCTCTTGATTGTTTCATTGAGTGAATAGTAGCATTCATAGTGTCTATATTATTCTCTTCGCACATGCAACTATGCTCACATACTGAAGATAATTGACTGTTTTTGATACAACAAAAGCAAAACTTGCATTTATGACGAAGGACATGAAACCATAGAATGTCAGTTATATAGAATCCGTTGTTCAGGGACACGAAAGAAAAAGAATGAATGAATTCATAGAAGACACTCTTAATATCTTCTAAAGAATTGTAAGAACCTTCTTCTTTCTTCTAGTTCTGTAATAACGATGTGTCAAGCAACTTGAACTCAATTCCTATTCGAAATTATTCTACACAAATAACACTTCGTTCCACAAGTTTTTCACGATTATACAATTTTAGTTCATCTTGTCAAGTATCATTATCAATGATGAATTCAAGAGAAACTATTTTGACTGATCCCGGTACGCTCTTTTTTTTTATTTCTGCTCTTGTTACTTTGTATGTGATTAAACAATGTTTGGAAGACAAAAAGAAAAAAAAAAACAAAAAGTCCTTGCGATACATCAATTGCTATCGGCATATGCGATTTAATTTTTTATATTTTCTTTTGTCATGTTACGTCTCTCTCTAGAGATTTAACAAATGAGAAGCAAAAAAAAAATCAACAATATTCATGATAATAGACTCGAAGATTGTTAGCATATTCCATATGCTTTTTTTTTTTGTTCTTTTCTTTTATAGCAACAAATGCATCCTATCATGAAGATAATAATGATATTTGGCAACCTATGAATACTAACAATCGAATATTATATGAAAAGACAAGTACTATTTTGCATAATAAAAATTATTATTTTGAACCAATCGATCGTGATTTTTCAACAAATATAACAACATCGAAAATAAATCATTCACATTTAATTCAACGACCTGTACCTATTTCAAACTATCAATTAAATACACTAATGGAACATTCACAACAACAACAACAATACTTTTTACAAACAAAAACAAATTCAACAATGAATATTAATCCATCAAATATTGATTCAACAATTCAATCATATGCATTACCTCGTTCAATAACAACAGATCAATTTTCAAATAATAAAAATTCTAAAAATAGATTATATTATTATCCTAGTGTACAAGATGTACTTGATGCTTTAAATCGAGATTCAAATTTTAAAGAATCATTTGTTTGAATATATGCTTTTGTTTTTTTTTGTTAATAATTATTCTAATTAATGGAAATTTTCTTTAGTTCTGAATAAAACTAATAGCAATGTAGGACTACAAGAATTTGTTAAACATTTATATCAGTGCATACAAGAAGCTGAGATAAGTAAACGAGAAAAATTCTACATCATATTTGAATTGTGAAAAATTCTTAGTATCTTTTCATGATTGTATACTCATCGTCGGAAACTCAGATCGCTGAAATGAACATTATCGAAAAGGAAGATCGTCGAATATCTTTCGAACATCTATGTTCGTGAGCTTTGTTTCGCTGATATAACTCTAAGCTATCAATCCTCCAGTTCATTCTTTCAGAATATATATCATATAGATACCTACATATATATATAGCATCTAATCAACTGTGATGTGCGCATTACAAATTACAATCTAAGTTTTCTTAGTCTCTAATTTAACTTAGGAACTTATTGAATCACTTACTGAAATTAGCTCTTTAGATAAAACATCATTGTCATTACTAAGTACAGTAAATATCATTAATCATAATAATGAAAGGTTGCTAATACTACAAATATCATCTGAGAATATCACCGAACTTCGACGACAATCTTTAATTTATGTTTTGGAACATCTTCAAAATCAACATTATTGTTGAGTACTGAATACTGTATAATAATCAAAATTTTATCTACACGTTTCCACTAAATAACTAATTTCTATGAAAATCAGTTTTGATTTTTAAAAAAATCGCTTTTAAAAATGCGAAACTTTTAAATTTGGTGTCCAAAAGTAAATAGCAAGCTTTGTACAGCAAACAAAACTGAGTCATTAAAAACTAATTTCAATTAAAATACAAAATTGACTAAAACAGTATCTGGTACAAGCAACATTTTGGATCTTTTGAAATAATCTAATGATAATCTTACTCTAAAAAGAAATTCTGGTCACATATTCGGAAAAAGCAAAAAAATTCCCACTTCAAGTAGGTTCAAAATAAGTAAATATTTTGCGCCATAGATTATAACGGTTTGAGAATTCTCTAGAGTTAGGAAATAGAGGTAGGACTTGGAAAAATAGAACTGTGCACTTTTTGTTTGATGTATAGATAAAATAAGTTTCTTCAATTCGCTCTAATACGCTGATAGCTTTACTGTATGTCTCTTGTAAAAACTATCTGTCTTCATTGTTCGAATTTCTTCAAAAATTATGATGAACGTTTGAATATAATGATACTCGTTTTACTTAGTTATCAGAGTAAATATTTTTATTATCATGTTCTATTTAGCAGAAGGTATGATGATGGTCTTTAAAAACCTATCAGACCTAGTCAACCTTATTGACGAAATTTATTTTATTTATACATCAAATACAAGGTGCAAAGTTCTGTTTTTTTTTGTATTTGAATAGAAGTACAAATACTTTCATCCGAGCTCTGTTCGGAAATATTTTGTGACATCAGAAATATTCGAAAACACTAATTTACAGTATAGCTAAGTTTATTAGCTGTTGAAAAAATACCAGGTTTTTTAAACTAGTTTGTTTTTTTTTTGGCAGAACTGCACGTCTGACATAGAAAAAGAATGTGAAATTATTTCTCTTCTTCCTGATGAATCGAATAGTTTATTCTTCATATCATGTAGTGTTATTTTTACATGACGAAACTAAATTTTCGAAATAAATAATCAAATATGACAAGGTGATTCAAAAAAAAATTCTAATTGATGTTCCATGCTCTTCTATTATACCGTACCTTGTTTTGGATTATGTAACCAAAATTGATCAATATTTTATACATATTATTATACTCATTGAAACACTTTACAATTGATTATAATTAAAATTTAATAATCTTAGCAAAATGATAATAATTCTCAATAATTTGTCTACTTAACTTACCTATGTCTAGAAATATAGCCTGGAAAATTTTAGATTATCATATTGTTTCATTGTCGAATTAATAAATTTGTACAAACAAATCAAAAAATAGAACAAATGATTTCTTATTTCTTCTAACTAACGGTAGAATATTTTCTTTCAAAAGACACTTTTATTTAGAAGCTTTTTCCTTCAGCTGTATCTATTTCAAAAGGAATTTATTCAAACAAAAAAATGTATGTTATGAACTCAGGAATTACATTTTCTAAGGAATCAGCCTCCTTTTTGGACCATCCTGCATAATAAGAACATTAAATATCCATGTACATCTATTCATTCGAATAAATCCATATCATCAAAATCGCATAATTTTTGGCGATTTTCCAATAATTTTCAAGAGTAGATAGTATTATATAAAAATATTTTTTTTTCTTCTGTTTAGATCATCTCAATAAACAGTAAGCATTATTTTATTTGGAAAAAAAAGCTTCTTTTTTTTTGGATTATTTACTGCAGATGAAAAGAAAGAAATTATCTCGTTTCTCATTCACGAGAAACATGTATGAGTAGGACGGTGCTATACATGTCGAGATGTAATCATAGTTGTAGATCCAAATACTACGGTCAGATTGAATCATCGGACATATTATTTGAATAATCGCGATTAATCGACTGAATAAATTGTCGATTTTGATGACATAGAAACCTCTCTAGTGTTTGCTATTATATCATCAATATGTATTGAATAAAATTTACTCTATGATTGTATCACGAATTGTTTAATCATAATTTGATTCGAGTACGATTTAATATCTGAAAAAAAAATAAAAGAAAATATACTACGACAAATAGATCTTTTGTTGTAATAATTAGAAGTATTTAATTAATGAAAATCCAAAAAGAGGAATAAAATATTTAGTTAGTAATTAATTGTAAAATGGTCGATTTATTATATAGTATATAATTCTTAGTAAAAATAAATTATCCTTTGTTGCTAGTATTGGTTTACAAATATTTCAAAAAACTAACTATACCGACAATGTGTTTGCATATGTAATTCTGAAAAGAAATTGATGAACAATTTGCATTTTAACATTTTTCAATTTGAACTATTTTCATATAGTAAAAATCAAATCATTTTTTGAATTAATAAGACACCCACGAATAAGGTCGTAAATCTGTCATTCCTTTAGATTTCACGGTTAATAAAATAGAAAGATAAGGCATAAAATTCTGCATATGTCTATCTATTTATTTTATTTTTTGTTGAATGCAAAAAAAAAGACATTTTGAGAACCAAGTAGTCGTAGGTGTCTATCACTTTTAGGTGTTTTAGTTGATTGTTACGTTACCTGTGTTTTTTTTTTCTTTTCTAAACCCAATATGAAAAGTGATAGCGTACATCGATGTATTTTTCATGCTCTACACAATGGTATAGTGATCATGTTTATTTTTATCCTCTCTCTTAGATTATACAGGGTCACATAGGCGCGATATTGTACCTATTCGACCTTATATGATCTACGAGAGAAATTAAAAAAAATGATTACTATCATTTTGTGAGGTATAAAATCACGTCGATCTACGCTATTATTTTTCATATTGGGTTTAGAATAGAAAAAAAAACACAGGTAACATAACAATTAACTATAACATCTGGAAGTGATAGACTCTAAGGCCACTTTGTCCTCAAAGTTTTGTTTTTGCGCTCAACAAAAAACAAAATAAATGAACAGAAATGTTCAGAATTTTGTGCTCTATCTTTCTATTTTATTCAAAGTAAAATTTATCCGGCTGTATCCTCTATCGATTTTCTATTTTATAATTATTTAAATCGGTTTGTATAATTGATTGTAAATTATGAGATGATATGTAATATTTTTGTTTTTTTTGTGAAGAATTATTAAGAATGCAAATTACATTTGTTATTGATTTTGTAGAAAATATTTTTGTGTTAATCGAAGAAGGATTATATTCAATTAATTATATTATTGACAATATTTAATGCTATTGTCAATAAATTCTTTTATATTAATCGTCTCTAATACATTAAGTGGCAGATTTAGAGTCACGCGCTCGTTTCTCTTCTTAAAGATTTTTCTCGATTTTTTGCTAACAGAAAAGATTTAAAAACGAACTGATACTACCTGTGTAATGAACTTCAAAATACGTTTTATGATCATGATCGACCCCTATCATAAAAATCCTAGATTCGCCACTGAGAAGACATTGTTTATGTTTAAACCGCAACGCTATATACTTTTATAAAAATAATAATTTGATTTTAGTCGTTCATTATCAAAAACAAAAAATATTTTTTTTTTTAAATTGAACGAATTTATTTTTCTATTTATATTCGATCATTTCAATTTCTATATTCAACCTTACTTTTACTATACACACTTAAAATAATTTTTTTATTTTTATTTATTAACATATCTATATAATTAATAAGTAAACATTTAAGTAATTTACTAATGTTATAAAATTCTTTCACTTACGAAATCATTTAAATGATAGCCAATCAAAAATATAATAATATTCAAAATTTCTTATTTCGATTGTACTTTAATATTATTCATTCGGGTTCATAGTACATCTTGTAGCTTTATTTTCTATATCCATATCTTTTTCTTTCCTTGAAAACAATTCTCTTGTTTGACCTGACATTTTCTTCTATATTAGATTTACACTCGACAATATTAGTATAAAGCGGGCTTTTTTTCTTTTCTTCTTTCAACGAGTCTAGAGAATATGTTATGCAAAGAACTTATCGTTAACATGTTCTGTTCCCATTTGTCGAATGCGTGATCGGGGTTGATTAATTTTTGTTTTACCTCAGGTAAAATGATCTCACATGATCGTCAATAGAAAGAAAAAAGATCGGATAAGAGATATATCTACTATGGCAATGGCATATGACTCGGCATTTGTTTAGTACTATCTTTATTTCAAACGATAAAAAAATGCATCTATATTTGTTTTTAAGTGTAACATTCCCATTTTTTTACCCGTTCTTTATCATCTAATGAGAAAAAAAATACCATCGTCATCATACTTATTTCATATAAAACGGAGTCATATCAATACGCATAGTTGTTTTCGCTATTTTGCATCTTTGTCCTTGCGC